GAATCAGACACAACTAAGGGACTGAACAACAACAGCAAACTGGTGACTAGTGGTGAATAACTTGATTCAGATGATTGTGTCAGTTTGAATTGAATGTAGCAGATGAATTGTAACCGGAGCTCTGAAGCGGCATTTCACTCAAGTGGAGAGTTATAGGGGTTTCCTTGGTGGCTCAGACTAAAGAATCTGCCTGCACTGCAGGAGACCCACGTTCAACCCCTGGGTCAGGAAGATCCCCTGGAGAAAGAAATGGCTACCCACTCCAGTATTTTTACCTGGAAAATCCCATGGACAGTGGAGACTGGTGGGCTATAATCCATGAGGTCACAAAGTGTTGGACATGACTGAGACACTAACATACACACATAGGGAAGTCCTATGTGCAAACAGATGAAGTTCTTGGCCAAGACTACTCAATCACAAAGGCACTTTGTTGAGATAAGAATGGAAATCTCTGAATTATCAAGATACTAATGAATTTATTTTTTAATTAAAAAGTAATACAACTCTAGTATTTCTGGGGGGGAAAAAATGTCTTCACACTGCAGGTAAGATGAGGACCATCTGGGTTGTGTATCCAGAGTTTGGTGTACTGGAGAATTCAAGTTCAAGGTTGTTCTGTATCATATGGGGTGGATATATGTTAAATTTCACGTCAATAAATACCACGGCAACAACCATGACACAAAAATAAATCTTATAAGAATCCAGATTCCTAGCCAATGACCCTTTTGAGATAATATTTAGCAGTATTTCAGCAGAGCTCAAGAATTTAGATCCCACTGGGGGTTAATGTATCTGACTTGTGTCTCCTGTAATCCAGATTAGAATTTCAAGGCACCCAGAATTCACTCCCATAGTCTTCATTATGTCTGTGCTCAGTTGTTCAGTTGTGTCCAGTTCTTTGCATCCCATGGACTGTAGCCCACCAGGATCCTCTGCCCATGGAATTTTCCAGGCAAGAATACTGGAGCGGGGTGCCATTTCCTGCTCCCAGAGACCTTCTTGATCCAGGGATCAAACTCACGTCCCTTATGTCTTCCACACTGGCAGGCAGATTCTTTACCATTAACACCACCTGGGAAGCCCATAGCCCTATAGTCTTCATTGGTGGTGGTGGTTTAGTTGCTAAGTCATGTCTGAGTCTTGTGACACCATGGACTGTGGCCTGCCAGGCTCCTCTGTCCAAGGGATTTCCCAGGCCAGAATGCTGGAGTGAGTTGCCATTTGCTTCTCCAGGGGATCTTCCCAACCTGAGGATCGAACCCATGTCTCCTTCATTGCAGGCAGTCTTCTGTATTGCAGGCAGATTCTTTATCGACTGAGCCACCAGGGAACCCCCTATAGTCTTCATTGCTTTGTGCTAAATGGAGACCTCAAGTAAATTTATAATATTCAAATTGTAGTCAACTAATGATATTTTGGGATGCTCATTTTACAATTAATTGACTACTATTCCAATCTCATAACATTTTGATAGTCTGTGCTTCATATTTCTACTCTCATGGGTCCCTGCTTCTTCAAAACATGTAGACAGCTTCATTTGTATTAATAGGAAATATACATTAAGATAAAAGATCTCTTGAGGTACCCATGATGACAGAATAAAATGAATTGAATTTCAATGGGATGTAATATTAGGTTAAAACAGAAATTCCAAGATGATCTTCTCATATTGCATATTTAAGAATAAGGAACTAGGCAGCTTAGATTTTTAGGAAAGCATTTAGACTACTTCTAGAAAACTTTACCCCAAATTTAATATTTTAATAAAATACCATGTATGTATATCACACATGAGCAGTTATATCTGAAATTAAGATAGAACATGTTAATAACAATTTGAATGTATACAGAGCCATGAGTCTTTAACTATAAAATAATCTTTAACTATCAAATAGTCTTTGTCAAATGAATATCCTTTAATATCTAGAATTATATAAAGAAAAGCTTTATTTGTAGCATCTTGAATTTTTCCTTTCTGTTTACTTTTATACTTCCAGAAAAGACATATGCATTTTTCACTAGAGTGAATCAATTTTTATTGGAAATGAATTTTAAGCTTTATAATACTAGAAAGCAGTATCTTCTGTAACAGCTGATAACTCCCTCTGGTGCAAAGCACTGAGCACATAGACTTGCTCTGAAGGACCTGTGGATGCCAAGGGAAAGCCAGGCTGCAGATCTATTGAGCACAAGGGACCTAGTCCTGCCTTGACCTCCACTCTGCCAGGCCCCAGACTCCAGTCTCCTCCCACGTGAGCAATGAGTAACCTAGGGCAGCAGTTCTCAAAGAACGGACTGGTTACCCTGAGGGGACTTCCTTCCTTTCAGGGAGCCCTCAAAATCAAAATCACCTTTATGATACTAGGGTATTATATTATCTGATACTTGCAAATTTTGGTCCTGGAGAAAACTCTTGAGAATCCCTTAGACAGACCAGTCAATCCTAAAGGAAATAACCGTGAATATTCATTGGAAAGACTCATGCTGAAGCTCCAATCCTTTGGCTACCTGATACGAACAGCTGACTCATTGGAAAAGACCCTGATGCTGGAAATGATTGAAGGTAAAAGAAGCGGGCAGCAGAGGATGAGATGGTTAAATAGCATCACTGCCTCAATGAACATGAATTTGAGCAAACTCCAAGAGATAGTAAAGGACAGGGAAGGCTGGCATGCTGCAGGCCGTGGGGTCACAAAGATTCAGACATGACTGCGGGACGGAACAACAACGTGTGTGCACGCGAAGTTGCTTCGGTTGTGTCCGACTCTTTGCCACCCTATGGACTGTAGCCCGCCAGGCTTTTCTGTCCTTAGGATTCTCCAGGCAGGAATACTGGAGAGGGTTGCTATTTCCTTCTATGGGGGATCTTCCCAACCCAGGGATCGAACCCACATCTCTTATGTCTTCAACCCTGGCAGGCAGGTTCTTTACAACTAGTACCACCAAACAACAACAGCAAGGTATTATTTGCTTTTTTAAAATCTCGTCTTCTCATAGGTAGACAGTGGAATTTTCTAGAGGCCACACAACACATGATATTACAACTGACTGAACGTGGAAGCAGCTTTCTTCTAGGCAGCCAGACATTACAGCTATTTGCAAAAATATAGAACTCTCCCACTGTCTTGCAAAAGTATTTTTTTCTGTCTTGGAAAATATTATTACTTTTTATTTTTATAATGTTATCTATGTCAACATATTTTAGGTTTGTCACTTTAGTTTCAGTGAACAAAAAACTAAACCGTTTAACCATTTCTCCATTTTAATTTCTAATATGAGAACCATCAGTAGATATAGCCAACAAATCAGAAGTTCTTTGGGGGTCTTTGAGAATTTTTAAGAATGAAAAGAAGTTGTGAGAGCCAAAAGGTTGAAAACTGCTTCATGAGGGCATCTCTGAGAAGACTTTTGACACTAAATCCCATGATACCAAGGTTGGCAGGTTCCATGGATGTTAACTCCATTGACAAGATGGACATGAATCTATGAACCCAGATAATCAGGAAACTCTTGTGAGACATTCCATCCTTCTCTGTTTGAGCGGTTCTCATTTTGCTCCTCTCTGCTCTCTGAATGCCTTGCTAATAAACTCACCAACCCACACCCACACAGAGAAAATGGGAAAAGCTGTGGGCATCAGTAAAGGCTTGCGAAAGAGCACATTTCCTCCCCCACCCTCTCCAAGCCCCCAGGTCTGATCAAGACATTCTTGGGTACCAGTCCCTCTTTTTATTAATACAATGAACTTTTCACCCCAGGGGTCACCACCACACAGTCCCTCTCCAGGACAAAGGCCCAAAACAGGCGAGTGAGTCAGCAGCCACAGATGAGTGGCCCACCAAGAAATATTCTAGAACTTTAGACTTGCTCAGGCCCCACTCAGATTCTAAACGGAGCTTCCTAAGTGGTTTTCAGAACCCTAAGGAGTTTTTACAGCCAGGATCTGAGATTGACATTATCTACAACTGGATGAGCAGCATCAGCTTAAATTCTATCCAGCAGGAAGCAAGGAATAGTTTTCCATGAAAGGTGAGTTCATTTTGTAATAAACGGAAAGTTGGAACACCCAGGGTCGGGGAAGATCCCCTGGAGAAGGGAATGGCAACTCACTCCAGTATTCTTTCCTGGAGCATCCCATGGACAGAGGAGCCTGGTGGGCTACAGTCCATGGGGTCACAAAGAGTCAGACACAACTGAGTGACTGAGTCACAAGTGAGTCACATAGAGGAACACCCAGAACTCAACCTCACCAGGACCACAACCCCAACCCTGGGCTTTTTATTCTGGTGACCGGTCATCCTCCAGTACAACCACTAAAGGTGGGGAGCTGGGCTTCTTCCCAGCTCTGTTGCCTTCAGAGTCCGTGCTCTTCCCTTTCCCGGCCACATCCCAGCTCCTCCGCTGCCAGTCTGTTTCAACGATAAAATTTAATGATCCTTCCTACAATTTAAGGCTGAGGTGGAGACTGGAATGGAGAATATAAGTGCTCTGCTCTCTGCTATTACTTTTATCTTCTGTGGGTCCGTGCAGTGACACCGATCCAGGACCTCCCCCAACCAGCACCCTGTTCTATGTATGAGGGAGAGCAAATTGAGTTTTAAACCTCCTTTCCTGTGAAGTTGAGTTCTTCACAGTTTTCAAAGCACTTCTCTCATTTGATCTCATTTTATCCTCACAACAACTCGGGTGATTCTCACCACCCCTAATGAAGAAAGCGGAGAACTATATTTGCATCGTAATTATCATGTTGCCCAGAATGGGCGTCCTCCTTTGAGAAGGAAACTGATCTTATCCACTGCGTTTAGCTCAGGTTTTTTTTGTTGTTGTTTTTTTAAGAGCAGACCATGGTGCCCACTTTGAATTGCTAAAATCCACTCTACACCAAAGTGCAGGCTTAGATAGTGGCTGATTTGGCTGAAAGTTATGATCCACACCTGCCATGTGCCCAAAGCTACAGACATAAGTAAGTAGTTAGACTATTTTTGGGGTCTTACCATTTTCACCAGATGGCTTGTCTTTTCCGTTGGTCGTCCCAGCTCCTTGTCGCTAAAGGCATTAAAAAAGAAAGAAATTGTTATCAGTCACTTTCAGGATTATTTTTGTCTCTTTCATTGTTTCCAATACTTCTTGCATCATATCAAGTTCTATGTCACTTTAGCTCAAGATGGTTAAGGCATGATGTTCGTGAGACCAAGAAAAGATCAGTCCAAGACAGGATGTTTTGAAACGTCACAGACTGCCTCCCTGGACCAGATCCACTGCTCTGTGAATTCAGTTCACTAGTCACAAGGGATAGCAGACAGAAGACTGTTGATGGAACACAGCATCAACAGAAACACGAGGGAAGCAGCAAAGAGTTTTCACCAACTGTGACAAGATCAGAGCTATCACTTTTGTCAATGATTACACTGCCACATTTTTATTCCAATCACTATGTTCAATGTCTCATCTTCAAATATATGGTAATCAATTTTTAAAAGTCTCATGTCAATGGTCAGAATCTCTCCTACCGTTAGGTTACTTTTCTGTCCATGTTTATGCCTATCTTGTGGATTTTCAATTTACCAGGTTGACCAAAAGGAATGTCTTATGGTTAATCTTGAGTCTTTGGGCAAGATTCTCTGAATAGGTGGCCTGGGGAGCTATGTGCAATGTATTGCACATGCAAGCATTTAAGCATATTTCTTCAAACCTTATCCAGCGACTACCTTTAAATAACATGCTGTTCAGAATTGTTCTTTCTAGTCCATGGAGAGAGAAGTCTTTTGTCAGTCCAGTTTTCTGGTCATCATCAGAAAACATGCTTCAAGTTAAGAAAAACAAAGTGATTGTAAAGTCTCTAGCTTTCAGGTGCAGAAAAAGAGGCCAGGCAGGGAGCTTGATTTGTCCAAGTTCACAAAGCTAATTGGTGATACAGTCAAGACTGGAGACTGGACTTCCTGCCAAGGTTAGTACCTTGCAGGAATAGTCATCATTATGTAACTCTCTGATGGGATCCTGGAAAGAGAAGCAAGGCACTGACCAAGGAGAAAATCAATATAGGTGACTCCCATCAAGGATCAGAATGAACTTAAAATTTATATTTGAGTCCAAGACTTCAGCTTAAAGCAGTATTAAAAAAAAATTATTAGTTCGTATTATTGTCCAGTGTTGTCATGAGAAATTCCCAGGCCCTTGGCCAATCCTTGATTAACAGAAGCTGGATCATCTGGAAAAATCTTGCTTGCATGTTCTGATTAGTGTAAATAAATATGGCAAATGAATGATAGAGACTTATGTGAACAAATTTAACCATCCCCGTGTACGCTTACTACCTGGTGCAGATGATAACTCCAGAGAGAGGAAAAGTCAAGCCTTCCATTTATTACAAATCCCACCACACACCTGCCACACACAAACACACACACACCCCATGTACACACAGACTCCATCTCAGTCAATGAGAAGTGCAAATGCCCACCCAGGTCAGGAGAGTACTCTGCTTCATTCCAAGAAGAAAAACCACCTCTCTCTGCCAGGAAATGGAAGGAAAGCCTAGATAAATGTGGGTTCCTTCCTCTCATTTAATTTAAAACATTTTTTTCAGAACCAGACCTGCCCATTATCCCATGGAAGAAGAAGGTTGCGGTACTGGCCAAACATCCACTGATCTTCAATAAATTTCTCCCATTTCGTTCGCTGTATCATAGCATCTTTATCTAACGCACTCAACTTGTAACACATCATCATCTCGATTTAAACCAGATTACACATTTCTTAAATACAGTAGATTTGTAAGTGAAAATGCCACTTTATTCTTGCCTGTGTTTACTCAGTTTCATTTTTTTTAAACAGAAAGCTGGTAAATTTGCTGCACAGGACGGAAATTTGGTCACCATGGTGAAGGATCAAAAGTGACACAGCAGCCAGTTAGGGGTCGAACCGCTCCAAGGTTTAAACCCTCCATTCTTCCCCGCACAGTTCATAGAAGACTCAGAAGACATGGCAAATTCCACAGAATAAAAGGACAGGGTTTTAGAGCTGAATAAAGCAAATTCAATGGCATACAAGTGCAAAAGAGGTGCACATCCAGCTCCATTATCTTTAAATACCTTAAACACTGACACCTTTCAAATGTCCTGAATACTTCATTCCATAAAAGATCACCTCTAAGAAACCTGAAGGAAACCAAAATGAAATGTGCACTGGGGAAGAAAAGGGGTTCGTTTTCTAAGAATTTCTAAGATAGGAGTTTTGTGTCAGGTCTTATTCGATGGAGGCAAAATGAAGCTGATAGATGTCATTAGGAGATTGTGTCTCGCATCAGAGAATGATCCCTACAAAAAAGAACTAGTCATCCAAAACATCTTGTTTCAGAATTCTTTCAGACCTGGCGACATTTTTAAGACAAGGCTGAGAACAGTGAGGGGAGCAGTCAAGAGGGCTCTTGTTCCTGTTCCAGGGGTCTCCAGGGCCATTACCTGTGATTGTTTTATCACTAGGGGAGGAGCTGAAACTCCCCTGAACCAAGTATCTGAAGGGGACCTGAGTCAGGCTGGGGCTCAGGGTGCTGAGGCCAGATAAGCTCCAAGTGGTCCTGGGCATTACGGGCTCAGTGAATTACGACAGCATCCTTAGCCAGGCAGATACCACCATGGTTCTCAGCAGCATCACGCTATCACTGTATCCCCAGCACAGAGGACTTGCTCAAGGTCACAAAGCTGGGAAGTGGCAGAGCCTGAGCTCCAACCCAGAGGCTCTGGCTCCTAAGTTGACCTTTGAACCACTGAGCCTGCATATCCCCTAGTATCCTTCTGAGCCCACCCTTCCTCCACCCAACACACCAGCAGGTGAGAGATTGCTATGTGGAGGGCAGACAGCACCACAGAGAAAAATAGCTTAAGAGAAAATGCATCACCATCAACACCCTGCTTCTATCACCAACGGGAAGTGTGGGCTTCCCTGATGGCACTAGTGGTAAAGAATTCTCCTGCCAATGCAGGATACGCAAGAGACCTGGGTTCAATCCCTGGGTCGGGAAGATCCCCTGGAGGAGGGCATGGCAACCCACTCCAGGATTCTCACTTGGAAAATTCCATTGACAGAGGAGTCTAGTGGGTTACAGAGAGTCAGACACGACTGAGCACACACACACTGATGGCCTCTGCAGAATTTCTCAACAAGTATAAGAGCCCTGTCTAAGGACGCAGACCAAAATGTTAATGTGACAGCATTGGAGCCTCCTTCTTCTGCAGCACATGCAGGAGGCTTGAGCAGGGAGGTTTCCTTCCTCGGTGATGTTAACTATTACAGGGATAGCATTTCAGAGTTTGATAAATCCCAGTTAAGTAGAGAATAGACTTGTAGACATAGTGGGGGAAGGAGAGGGTGGGACATATTGAGAGAGTAGCCCTGAAACATATACATTGCCATATGCAAAACAGAGAGCCAGTGGGGATTTGCTATATGACACAGGGAGCTCAACGCCGTGCTCTTTGACAACATGGGGTGGGATGGGGTGGGGGGTGGAAGGATCAAGGGGGGGACATATGTATGCCTCTGGCTGATTCATGTTGATGTATGAAGCCAACAAAACACTATAGTGCAATTATCCTCCAATTAAAACTAAATGATTTTTTAAAAAGGAGCCTAAATGAAGAATAAGCATATATAGTTCCTTCTTACAATCCAACATAACACTAAGTACTCATAAAAAGGCAGGACTGGTTTTCAAAAGTATGATTCTTAAAGTGATTTTCCCTGTCAGTCCCCTGACACTGAGGGCTACAGGGAGATGACAAGGAACATGTCTTAGCTTGGCTTCCCAGAAAGCAAAGTGCAAGGCAAGAGCTGTTTGTGCTACAATTTAATTGGGGAGGGAGGTTCCAGGAATGAGTGGGGAGGACAGGTGGTGGGGCCCAGACAGCCATGCAAGGAAACGGCATCTGGTAGGCACTGCCAGGGGCACCCAGACCTCGAGACTGCGCCCTCCAGCGATGCTCAAACTCTGTTCGAGGACAGACTCCCAAGATCCATCAGCTCCCATCTCTCACTGGCCCAAGACACACACTCTAGGGCTTAATTCCCGATGCTTCTAGTCTGGGCCATGTCTCCAACATGGTGTCTGCCCGAAGACAAGGAGGACACCCCTGGGAAGGAAATGGAGACACACGGCATGGGCAGGAGGTGACATACCATCACTTAAATCTGCCTGAAGCCTGCAGAGCCCACGCTGGCTGCCCACCCACAGGGCCCTCCCTGATGGGACCTGAAGTGACAAAGGAGAGGTGTCTGACTCAGCACATCAACTTGGCTGGTGGGTCTTTTCAACCAAGTTGCAAGCTCACGGACAGTCCTTTCATATTAGAAACTTCACTAGTGGAACAAGCCACATCAATTTTCTGGTAAATAACCAGCTTTGGAGCCACTTCTTCCTGTATTGTGAGCTCAGAGTGTGTGCAGTCACTTTTTGCTACACCTAAGGGCTGGGACTCATTGGAAAAGACTCTGATGCTGGGAAAGATTGAGGGCAGGAGGAAAAGGGGGCAACAGAGGATGAGATGGTTAGAAAGCATCACCAATTCAATGGACATGAATCTGAGCAAGCTCCGGGAGATAGTGAAGGACAGGGAAGCCTGGCGTGCTGCAATCCATGGGGTTGCAAAGAGTCAGACACAATTTAGTGACTGAACAACAGGGGCCATGCACACATCAGTAAGACCCGTCTCAACGGTGTTGGTTGGAAGAGAAAGTGTGCTGTCGTCCTACCCATCACCAACAGACTGAAGCCCAATCCTACTGCGTGACCATCACAAGCCCCTATGTCCTCTGTTCTTCCTTGTGAGATCTATCACAAAACCTTTGTGTTCTTTATCAAGTCACTGGCTAAGGAGAGTGAAGTGTTTACCCGCCTTGGGCACAGAATTTAAGATGGCATCAAGAAACTCATTAATCAGAACAAACACTGCCTGGGATCATGCTTGCATGGAATCTGAAGGAGAAAAAAAAGTCAAGGTGATAAGAGCAGAGAGTGAAATGGTGATTGCCAGGAGCTGGGGTAGGGGAAA